CAGAAATATTACCTCGGGTTAAAAACTTTGCTTCAGGAGGAGAACAGAAATCATGCTCCAGCGGTGTGGTGGCAGCGGGAGGCCCCATTAGCTAAAGTGGTGCTTCAGGTTAAGAGCAGTTTCAGGTTAAGAACGGACCTCCGGAACGAATTAAGTACTTAACCCGAGGTACCACTGCATGCACATTTTTGTACGGAATTTTGACCAGCGTGTGCATTGCTGCAAGCGTTCCCCCCTTGTCATATGTTATTTTGACTAATATGCACATTTTACCTGAATTTTTGCAGGTGTTATTGGGTGGGGAAACTGCATTGCAAAATTCAGAGAACTGTGGATTTTTCAAAGAATGCCTGCGTCTCAAGTTGTCGAACATTTCAGGAAGTCTGAATTCGGTAGAGTCACCTTTGAGTGCAAACTGAGTTGAATTTCTCCCCTCATTCCTAGTTCAGAGCCAGCCCAAAACATATTGTTCCCAAGATGAAGGGCAATATGGAACTCCTCCATCCACCTACCGAATCCATGCACAAAAGCTGACCAAACCGGCGGCTGAATTTTGGGGCAGTTCAACACCTTTTGTTCTGTTTGGGATGGGATTCAGCCACATGCCCCCAAATTCGGGTTGTTGATTGGGAGCTCTAAGTCTGCTTCTCCAAAAGATCGGACATTTTTCGCATTAAGGAAAGTGACTGAAAATTACATCGGGAAGTGTGTGTGTTGGCACAAAACCTTTGTAAACTCCCTCTCATTGCATAAGCAGACAGGCGCTATTCCTGCTGCCTTTCCAGTACCTGATGTTCCTCTTACAACAAGTCCCCTAAAATCTTTATCCCAGTTGAGACCTGTCTTGGATTTCCAGTGATTTCATATATTTGCTGCTGTTGTTTCAAACTGTTTATTTATATTTATAGGGTATAAAAAAATGATTTTATATATGCAATGGTGTTCCGCCAGGCCTTTGGTCAGGGTTCAGCCTGACTCATTTTCTCTTTCTATAAGAACAAGCACGAAGGAGGTTCCCAGCCCGCTCATGGGTCCTTATAATATCAGTGGAAACAGTTGGTCTTGGCAAGTATTAACCACTTCCAATTTTAACCTGAAGATTGCCACTTGTCCAGTTTTAATTTTAATTTTAATTGTTGGAATTAATTGTGGGATGTATCTTGACTGATCGCTTGTATTATGCATATTGTCTTATTTATATGATGTTGGCGCTGTGGGTTAAACCACAGAGCCTAGGACTTGCCGATCAGAAGGTCGGCGGTTTGAATCCCCGCGATGGGGTGAGCTCCCGTTGCTTGGTCCCTGCTCCTGCCAACCTAGCAGTTCGAAAGCACGTCAAGTGCAAGTAGATAAATAGGTACCGCTGCTGCGGGTCGGTAAATGGCGTTTCCGTGCGCTGCTCTGGTTCGCCAGAAGCGGCTTAGTCATGCTGGCCACATAACCCGGAAGCTGTACGCCGGCTCCCTCGGCCAATAAAGCGAGATGAGCGCCACAACCCCAGAGTCGGCCACGACTGGACCTAATGGTCAGGGGTCCCTTTACCTTACCTAGCCGCTCTGAGCCTGGCTTTGGCTGGGGAGGGCGGGATACAAATAAAATTTATTATTATTATTATTATTATTATTATTATTATTAAATAATATTGTAAATGGCTTTGGGATGCTTCGTGAGAAGCATTTCACAAATGGATTAAAGGGGGGGAAAGGAAGAAGAATTAAGCAGTGCGCATGTCACTTACCTGGCCTCCGCTGGTGCAAAAGGGGTATTGAACAGGATGCCAGGAACCCACCTGACTAATCTGTGTGCATTTCTCCCTCCCTGGTTACCAGCCTGGGAACTAGGCTGAGCTGTTCTTGCTAAGCCCACCTACCCTCTCTTTCAAGCACATCCGCTGTTTGCCCAGCTAAAATACACTGTGCTCCCTGCTCGGCGCCTGCTCTTCTCACACAGGGGTGATTAATAGAGTTTCTCTGGTAAAACAAAAGGCCATTAAGACCTTTTAATATTTGCTTTCCTTACTCCCTGCCTACTTCATTTGATAGCTCAACGCAAGTTCTGTGTGTTTTCTTCCCTCCGTGAGGAATTAATAAGTGAGGAAAAGCTATATTGATTTTGGAGGCAGGCGCTGTTTCCCAGAGTTTGGATGAGAGTTGCGAAGCAGTGGGGGCAGCAGCCCCCTTGCCCACCCCATTTATTCATCTCACATGAGCTTGTCTTGTGGCAATGTCAGCTCTTGGCAGACGGCATCGCACTGCAAGGGGGAAAGATCCTTGCCGGCCTCCAATGAATGATAAGGGGAAGCTGCAGATCAGTGCTTCTTAGTGCTGCCCCCAACTGGGGATATTTTGTCATGACGTCATCCATGCTAGGAAAGCATATTCTGTGACTCCTCCTACCTCCATTTGCTTCCGGGGCAGGGATGCCATACGTCCGGAATTTCCCAGGCGTAGCTGGAATACTGCAGTCAGAAGCAGTGCCCAGACGGAAATCGCAAAAAAAAAATGTCCTGGAAAATCCAGAAGAATAATAGTAGTAGTAATAATAATAATAATAATAATAATAATAATAATAATAATATTTTATTTATATCCCGCCCTCCCCAGCCGAAGCCGGGCTCAGAGCGGCTAACAACAATAAAAGTAACACAGCATTCTAAAATCAGTTCATTCTAAAATCAATTCAAAATCAAATTAATGGAACCATTGGGCTAGAGTTCTATGAATATTACCAAAGGAGGGAGTCAGGCTGTGCCTTGGCCAAAGGCCTGGTGGAACAGCTCCCTCTTGCAGGCCCTGTGGAAAGATGTTAAGTCCCGCAGGGCCCTAGTCTCTTGTGACAGAGCAGATCAGGGCCACAGCTGAAAAAGCCCTGGCTCTGGATGAGGCCAGCCTAACATCCCTGTGGCCCAGGACCTCCAAGATGTTTTTGTTTGAAGACCGTAAGGTCCTCCGTGGGACATACGAGGAGAGGCGGTCCCGTAGGTACAAGGGTCCTAGGCCGTATAGGGATTTAAAGGTTAAAACCAGCACCTTAAACCTGATCCTGTACTCCACCGGGAGCCAGTGCAGCTGGTATAGCATCGGGTGAATGTGATCCCGCGGCGAGGACCCCGTAAGGAGTCTCGCCGCGGCATTCTGCACCCACTGGAGTTTCTGGGTCAGTCTCAAGGGCAGGCCCACCTAGAGTGAGTTACAATAATCAAGTCAGGAGGTGACCGTCACGTGGATCACAGTGGCTAGGTCAGGTCCATGGCAACCAGTGTCAGCAGTGTCGTTTTTTATGATTTCCCTTTAAAATAGCTCTTCTTCTTTTTTTTGCTCAACTTTGCCAAAGAAAGCTCAACAACTTTTGTGTCCGGGTTTTCGCGTTTTGACATATGGCAACCCTCTTCCTGGGCCACATCCGTCCTATACAGTGGTACCTCAGGTTACATATGCTTCAGGTTACATACGCTTCAGGTTACAGACTCCACTAACCCAGAAATAGTGCTTCAGGTTAAGAACTTTGCTTCAGGATGAGAACAGAACTCGTGCTCTGGTGGCGTGGCGGCAGCAGGAGGCCCCATTAGCTAAAGTGGTGCTTCAGGTTAAGAACAGTTTCAGGTTAAGTACGGACCTCTGGAACGAATTAAGTACTTAACCCAAGGTATCTTTAAAACACATGGCTTTCCCCAAAGAATCCCAGGAACTGTATTTTATTAAGGGTGCTGGGAATTGCAGTTCTTTGATGGGTAAGCTACAGTTCTCAGCATGCTTTTTGGTGGGGGGGACGTCTTATGCTTCAAAGGTATGTTGTGGACCAATAAGGGAAGGGAAGGATATGTTTGCTGCTTGGTGAGCAAACTCTCTTTAAAAGCAGAATAAAACATCTACTGAATAAATATAAAATCCGCACATTAGTCCGGAAGTTGTAGATTAGGTCTGTTCATACTGGAATTTGCAAAGAATGAATTAATATATTCTCAGCAGGTCTCAGAACAGCTGCTGGAATTCAGTGCAACCCCAAGCTAGAAGCTGATAGCTGTCCCCACATCTTTCATAGATAATCTTCAGGGAGAGGGAACTTGACAAACTCTTGAAAAAGTGACTGGCACAGAAATCAAAGTACCAAAAGGAAACAAATTTGTTCTGCAAATAATTGTGCTTAATTAGAAATTATATCTTTTCCCGCTGACAGGTGGCAAGAGAATGCCTTGAAGATTACACAGGGATGTGTTGAAGACCATGAAAGAAAAAATGTGAGCAGTGAAACAGGTAGCACACCAGCGGCGCCCACAGATGCTGCTAAGTTCATGCATTCATAAACTTGCTTTCTGCTTCTGGGAATCGAGAGGACTGCTTCTGTGTGCTTTCGTATACTGCCCTCTAGTGACTGGAGGTCTAGTAGTGCAGACCCAGCTCTTCAAACTGATGGATCAAGAGTACTCAAAACTCAGTTGTGTCCCATCCTAAGCTGATGAAATAATGTCATCACTCACACTGTGGGAATTCCTCCCTGTGTAGCTGAGCTTGTGTCCTCCTCCCACCCCCAGCATCCTTCCAGTTAAAAACAAACTCCTTCATCCATTTTTTTCAGCAAATGGGTCTGATGTTATATTAGGTAAAGGTAAAGGGACCCCTGACAGTTATGTCCAGTCGCGAACGACTCTAGGGTTGCGGCGCTCATCTCGCTTTACAGGCCGAGGGAGCTGGTGTTTGTCCGCTCTGCAAACAGTTTTTTCGGGTCATGCGGTCAGCATGACTAAGCCGCTTCTGGCGAAACCAGAGCAGCGCACGGAAACGGCGTTTACCTTCCCGCTGGAGTGGTACCTATTAATCTACTTGCACTGTGTGCTTTCGAACTGCTAGGTTGGCAGGAGCAGGGACCGAGCAATGGAAGCTCACCCTGTCATGAGGATTCGAACTGCCGACCTTTTGATTGGCAAGCCCTAGGCTCAGTGGTTTAGACCACAGCACCACCCGCATCCCAATGTTATATTAGGTATTGGGTATTTAGACTGGAAAGGCCGTAGCTCATTGACAGAGCATCTGCATTTCATGCTGAGGGTCCCAGGTTCAAACCCTGACATCTTTAGATAGGACTGGGACAGATTCTGGACTGAAATCCCCTAGAGCCAGGCTGTGTACACAACTCTGAGCTATTTGGACCAGTGGCCTGGCTCAGGATGAGGCATTTGGCTGGCTATTGTGCAAACAAGATAGTGAAGGAGATGGGTCTTTCATTCTTAAGGCAGCTTCCTATGTTCTTAGATAAACCAATCCATTGAAGCACCATTTTTTCTTTTCAATAACAATGTTGCATTTTATGAACTTGCAAACCTCACTTGAGAGGAAGGGCAAGGGAAAACTGCAATTAATTAATTTATAATGTTGTATTCTTTTAAAAATCCAGGTTTTGGTGTAGAAAACCTGAGAAGGAGACAGAGAAACACAGAGAGAGAGAGGATAGGAAGAAGCAAAGGAGTGGGGCATATATCTGGGCAGCAAAGGATTCCCAAGTACTGAAATAATTCTGGCTACCTAGGCCAGGCACTTAGGCTGAGGACCTTGCCTGGACAGTGATAGTCATTCCTGGTTCATGGCTTTCTCTGACTCTGGGTTCTGAATTCTGCTTTGGATGCAGAAGACCCCAGTTCATTCATTCTCCAGGCAGGGTGGGGAATCTCCCCTGGAGAGTCACTGCCAGTTAGTGTAGACCAGTGTTTCCCAAATTTGGGTGTCCAGTTGTTTTTGGACTACAAATCACATCATCCCTAGCTAGCAAGTCAGGAGTGATGGGAACTGTAGTCCCAAAACAGCTGGACACCAAGTTTGGGAGACCCTGGTGTAGACAATACTGAGCTAGAGGGATCAGTGATCTGACTTGGCATAAGGTAGATCTCTCTGTTCCTATGTCCAGGTTCCTATGATCCTTGCCTAGGGAACTCAAGCCTTCCCCGCTTCTATGGGAGGAGAGAAGAAGAGAAGGCTGAGCCTGGATCTTGTTTGAGGACACGCACAAACTTGTCTGTGATTATATTTTGTGCATCTCTCCACTGCTTTGTACCTGTTACTGCAGCTTTTCAGACAAACTGTGCTAATTTGGCTGGCAAAACACTGTCTGTCTTGCTTGGGAACTGAATGTCACAACTTTGCCAGCATGTTCTGAATTTTGAAATCCCACAGAGATTAGTGTTGCAAGAGCGAGACGTCAGATGAGTCTACAAACGTACAAAATATATGACAACTAAATGTGGAAAAACCTGCTTTTTCCCTCCCTCCCTCCCTCTCTCTTTTTGAGGGGGGTGGGGAAGCTGCAGGGAAAACACATGTTTTGACATTGCTCTTTTAAATGGTTTATTCCAAAGTGCTGTCAATCCTTTCCCCCCAAATAGTGCATGTAGTAACCAGGCTCTTTTTGGCACACAATGCTTATTTAATAATTAAAATATGTCCATACTACCTTTCCTGTACAAGAACACAGCAATGCATATGGGAGTAGGGAGCGAAAGTACAATGCAATTACAGTTCAGAATAAAAATGGCAGCTGCCAGGCCAACAGAGAATAAGCTGAAAGGAAACCAGATAATATTAGTGGCCAGCAATGACTTCCGCAAATGGATGGCTTTTCAGCAAGCACTGAAATAGCACCAATGAAGACCCTTGCCATAATCAGGGGCAGAGATGGTTCCACAGAAAAGGTACCACTCCTGTAAAAGCCCTCCCTTTTGTTGCCTCTAAACAAAACTCTGAAGGTTGTAGTGTAACAATCTTGGTGACCACCAAGCAGGTGTTCCTTAGGGTTAGACCCAAGTTGTTTAGGGCAGGATGGGGAACCTGTGGCCCTCCAGATATTGTTGAATTAGAGCTCCCATCAGCCCCAGCCAGCCAGGCCAATGCTTATGGGTGGTGGAAGTTGTAGTCCATCAATAATAATACAGTGGTACCGCGGGTTACATATGTTTCAGGTTACATACGCTTCAGGTTACAGACTCCGCTAACCCAGAAATAGTACCTTGGGTTAAGAACTTTTCAGGATGAGAACAGAAATCGTTCTCTGTGGCGCGGCGGCAGCAGGAGATCCCATCAGATAAAGTGGTGCTTCAGGTTAAGAATGGACCTCCGGAACGAATTAAGTACTTAACCCGAGGTACCACTGTAATATTATAATAATTTATTATTTATACCTTGCCCATCTGGCTGGGTTTCTCCATTGGCTAGGTCACAGTTTCTGCACCCCTGGTTTTGGGCTTTGGAGATCAACACTGAAACCTTGCAGTAAAAGGTAAAAGGTAAAGGACTCCTGGATGGTTAAGTCTAATCAAAGGTGACTATGAGGTTGCGGCTCTCATCTCACTTTCAGGCCAAGGGAGCTGGCGTATGTCCACAGACAGCTTTCCAGATCATGTGGCCAGAATGACTAAACCGCTTCTGGTGCAATGGAACACTGTGACAGAAACCAGAGTGCACGAAAACACCATTTACCTTCCCGCCACGGAGGTTCCTATTTGTCTACTTGCACTGGCGTGCTTTTGAACTGCTAGGTTGGCAGGAGTTGGGACAGAGCAATGGGAGTTCACCCCGTTGTGGGGATTCGAACCGCCGACCTTCTGATCAGCAAGCCCAAGAGGCTCAGTGGTTTAGACCCGCATCTGAAACCTTGCACCTTGCACTCTAGCATATTGGCAGCCAGTGCAGCTCCTTGAAGAGCAGTGCTACATGTGCACTGCTCTGGCTACATTGTCAGCTGGATCCTATGCACAGCTGGATCCCATGCACACATCACAACCAGGGAGCTTAGTTGTGTCATACTCCACACAGGGCGGGGTTGAGCATACACATGCAGGCAGGCAGTAGAACAATGACTTAGTGCATGTGGCTATTTGCAACTGATCTCATTCTACCCATGGGTGACCTGGGGGTCTCAAATTTCAGCGGCGCCCTGTGTGACACCAAAATCCCCCCAACTCTCACCTTCCAGTCTACATCATAGTTGTGGCACCCCCTGCAGTGCCCCCAAGGCTTCCATGCCCAGTGCGACTGGACCAGTCACAGTCTCCTAAGTGTGCCGCTGGTTCTGCACAGTTTCCTAGTTCTAAGTCCTCCAGAATCATCATATATTAATGTATAGCTACAGAATAAGAACAGTAGCAGAGGGTCTGGAAAGTGCCATTTGCTAATATATATATAACCCTGATGAAACACAGAGTTGCAGGGGGGAGGTCAAGCTCAGGACATTTAGTAAAGCATTGTCTTAAACTGCAGCCAAGCTATATCTTGTTCAATTTGTCATCGCCACCACCTAGCTATGGCTGGATCAGCCTACAGTGGTGCCTCGCAAGACGAAATTAATTCGTTCCGCGAGTTTTGTCGTCTTGCGATTTTTTTCGTCTTGCGAAGCACGGTGTCGGGAAAGTTTTGGAAAAGCTTTAAAAATCACCAAAGTCTTTAAAAACCTCAAAAAAGGCTACCACACCACGTTCTATGAGTTGCTCCTCGAAGTCAAGTCGCAACTGTATTAACGGTGTTAAGAAAAAGGAAACAAACTTGCAAGACGTTTCCGTCTTGCGAAGCAAGCCCATAGGGAAAATTGTCTTGCGAAGCAGCTCAAAAAACAAAAAAACCCTTTCGTCTTGCGAGTTTTTTGTCTTGCGAGGCATTCGTCTTGCGAGGTACCACTGTATTTCCATCCCATGCCAGTTTCACATGCAGTCAATCACAGGTCCGTTTCATCCCCTTTTCACATAGATTTTGAAGAGATAGGAAAACACACACACAAATCACATTTAATTGTATGCACTTTTCTCTTTAAAGAAGCATTGTTTTCCTAAATCAGGGGCAGGAAACCTTTGGCCCTAGAGTTGGTGCTAAACTACAACTTCCATAAGTCCCAGGAAGCATGGTCAATGGCCAAAGATGATGGGAGTTGTAGTTCAGGAACATTTAGTTTGCTACCTTTAACTAAATGTTGCATTCTTGTATGCTTTCAGTGCCTTTTTCTCCTGAATATGCATTTTTGTAACAGCTGTTTTCTTTAAAATATGCCTACCTGTGCTCATATTCTGACAGAAACTGCATTAGAAAATCCAGATAAATGCACCGTCCAATTTATAGCTGTATTGCAACCTGCATTTAAGTTCAGGGCTGGCAAATTTGCTTTTACATCACTATCACCATCATCTTTCAGTATCTAACATCCCACGCCCTAGAACGTTGATCAGCAGTAAGAAGAGGTGATCCAAATTAGCATTTGAGAGCTTTGCCCAAAGCTTTTTCCATGTTAATTAAGTCAAAGGCATCCTTCAAATAACAAAGGTCATAAGTAAGTAGCCCTTTCTTGCTTGAGCATGTTTGTTAATTAGGGGAGCCAAAATTGCCGTCCTTAGTTTAGTAAGTTTTCAACTTTATATTAACAAGCATGGCATGACCATCAACTGGCTGAGTCTCATCAGCTAATGGCAGATTGGGCTCAAAATTTATATCCAGTTATATACTATATTTCTCTGTGTGTATGTGAACAATCCAAGTCTCCTGGAAACGCTATCACATTTGACAAGCAACCATGCAAATGACCACTTAAAACTATGGTGCCCAGTCTTGAATTCTGCAAAATAAAATTAAGAAACCATCACTCTGTGCTCTCTCTCCTTCGTGCTCTGAACCACTGTGCAACAAATGTGTTTTCCCCTTCACTATAATGCAGGTCTAAAAATGCCTATAACATTTTCACCTTTTGGCCAAAGTGGATGAAACTGACAAGCACTGGAGCTCCACCAGAGTGGATTAAGCCTGTCAAATTTCAGGTGAGTAGGTCCAGCATCCTATGGCTAGCCAGAAGCGTCTGGAAAAAACACAAGCAGAACAAAAACTTGCTCCCTAGCAACAGGCATTCTGTGGCATATCGCCTCTGAGCATGGCAGTTTTGTAGCCACTCAGGCTAATAACCTAATTGCCATTGTATTCATTACTGTTACCTGGATGGCTTCTAAGATATCAGGGTATGCAGCCTGGTTCTAGGACTATTTATGAACAGCCAGAATGATGAAGAACCAGTGGTACCACAAAGGCGAAGCTAGGGGGAAACTGGGGCTGAAC